CTCACTTTCCGCCCCTATGGAGCTCCGATGTTATGTACAACATCCGACGAAGAACCACTAACCCCGCAGTCTAGGTCCAGTGGATACCGTGTCACTCCACGCGCATCTAAAGGGCCGTGCCCAAGATGCCTCGGACTCTGTTTTTCACGCCATCAATGGCATGCAGCGACTGCTTCGCAACGAGAGCAGTGCTCAGTGGTTTTCGTGCCACTCCACGAGCATCACGAGGGCCTCGCCCTCGATACCTCGGCCCTTGGCCGACCATGTCACGCATGACATGCAGCGACTGCTCTTGAAACTTGAGCATCTTACGTGCCACTCCACGATCAGCCCGCGAGCCACGCTCGGGACTCCTGTCCAATGCACCGTTGGTGTCTACCAACTCGGATATTCCAATGTCTAGCACGTTGACCGTCTCGGTCCAGTGTTCTCGCCAATAGCGCTTTTGTCTCATAGTAGAGGTGGGTTCATGACTCGCCAAAGCTCCACCAGGAGACGTGCGCGTAGCGCGCGCCCAAGGTCTTTGCCCTCCAATCAATTTATGGTTCATGGTGTTCCAAGTATGCCATTCCTAGGATGAGGTATACCTTGCATCCTAGTCTAAGACTAGACAGCGTTCCACGCTATCAAAGTCATAAAACTTGACTCCGAGGTCCACAGGGACCTTCGGGACCGTGCCACGCGTCCCCGTCGATAGACGAATAGTGACGATATCACCCATCCGCACTTTCAGCGTCTCAGCATACAGCTGACATCCCTCCATCGTGGAGCGTCGAGCATAATTTCCCGACGCCCCAGAATCGATGAGGATCGTCCATGGCTTTTCGAAGCCCTTTACCGTCGCCTCCACGACCAGCAAGCCCGGCTTGCACACGCGTTCCGTGTTTAAGAGCACAGAGCTCCTTGGGACTGGGCCCTGTTGACCTATGCCTCCCTGAGGCTCAACCGAACTCAGTTCTTCCCCAGTAAGTCGCCACGCACCTACTGAGTGGAGTCATTTCCCCGCGACGAACCAGACTGGTAGGCGTTGGGGCGATGGTTTGAAGAACCTTGACGCGCCTTGC